AGCTAGATGGTTTGCAGAATATGAAGACTGCAAACAATATCTTCTCGGGAGCGAATGAATGGGGTACTTGAGGATAATGACGAAGGTTTGAAGTTGTATTTTTCTGAAGGTTGTTGGTTGCGTGTTCATATCACGTCGGGTGGTCATTAATGTTGCCGGTGGAAGGAAAAGGGGAGATCTCTCGCCGGGCAAGGTGTTCTGCCCGGGGAGCCGCCAACGAGTGGTAGTTCGGAGCTATTCTATATATAGCTATTTATTTAGGCTTCGATATGTTTCGCTTGTGGCGCGACGACAGCGCCGCCAGAGATCAAGTTTGGCGTGCCGCAGGGAAGCGTCCTTGGCCCTACGCTGTTTTTGGCTTATATAAATGAATTGTGCTCCACAAAATTAACAAATGCAAGAAACTTCACTTTTGCAGTCGACACTACAATTATTTTTTATGCCAACTCGTGAAACCAGCTACGTTCTATTGCACAGGAAGGATTAAATGATGTGAGTGAGTGGCTTCAACGAAATTTACTCCATGCTAACATTAATAAAACCAAACTTATCGCATTTTGTATAACTAATAAGCACTGTCAGAAAATCTTGAACTTAAACTTCACTGTTGTCTAAACAAAGATCCTCAACAATGCCAATGTGAGCGACTTGAAAGAGTTAGTACTGTGAAATATCTGGGTATTGTGATCGACCAAAATCTCAACTGGTTAGCACAGACAGAAGCCGTCTCGAAACGGCTAAAAAAAACTTATGCATATTTTCAAAAAACTGAGGACTGTTGCTGATTTAGACCTAATAAAAATGATTTACTTTAGCCTGTGCCAATCAGTTCTAAATTATTGTATATCAGTATGGGGAGCTACGAGCAAATTGCACTTACTAAAACTTGAGCGTGTCCAGAGAGCCATCTTGAAAATACCATACCGCCGACCTAGGCGATATCCAACTGACAAACTTTATACTGAATGCCAATTACTTAGTGTTCGTCAACTGTACATAGCTTCAGCAATATTACTATTTCACCGACAAGCTAAGCTGTTGGCACGCACTTCTTACAGAACACTTAAATGGGACCGGCCCAAGACCAACACCGCTTTTGGCCGCAGATGAAACGATTACATGGGTCCTTATCTATACACTAAAATATACAAAGCGAATAATAAAGTCTTGAAAATGACCATATCAGGTTGTAGATTATTGGTACATAAATAGTTACAAAATAAAAAATCTGAAGTAACTGAGGCATTATTAAAAAATCTTATTTGAACTAATAAAGCTTAACACATTCATGGACAGTATACCAGACACAATAGACGTTGTATTGTTATTAAGCCTTTAGGTGTGCACTGTGCCTTAAATGAAATATAATATCTTAAATAAATAAATAAATCTGATAATCTAAATGCATATTGAGAATGATTAATCGTTCAAAGGGTCTGAATTTGTACTATAAAAGTATAATATTGCAGAAATATTCGCAATTCAAATGCGACCAATGTTAAATATAACTTAAAAGTTTGTACCAAACATATAAATATGTGTTAGTTTTTATTTTGTTTAATTTTATTTTATTTTATTCCTTCTTTTTTCTGTGTTGTAAACTATGTATAAATCCACCCGTACATTTCTTTTTTTATATATAAAGTAACAGTTTTAATTACAATATAATTTCTTCATGCCATTAAACACAATTGTGTTTGTCTTGGCACTGCACAGTTTGCTCTAAAATATTATTTTACATTATACTTTTATTTACATAATATTAAAATTAACCTTTACTTAAACTAAATATAAAGTACCATTTTAAAATTGTGTGAAAGAATATTAAACATTTATTGAGTTTACATTATTTTATATAAACTTTATAGTAGATATTTATTAAACTATATTTTTTTTTGTGGAGAGGGTAGTTTTTGATATTTTTTACAAGAAACAGTGAAGCAAAAATGTGATTGTCATTGTCTTTGATTGTTCGACTTGCCTATACACTATACTGCAAATTAATTACGCGCGTACACACGGAATGCATTTTTAAGGAATAGTTTTTTTTAAATGTAATTTATTTGGTTACGCGTTTTGTTTATTTGTCCGTTTTTTGGCAATATATTTGCATAGATAAATATAAATTATCATGATCATCATTAAAATATATTTTTTTAAGAATGTTAATTATATAAAAAAAAAATTACATAGTATCGACAAATCTTTAAGTTCTATATGTTACTGTAAATGCCCGAATTTTGATGAATCTTAGGTTTTACTTTTAAATCCTAGGATTTATCAACATGAGCTGGTAAATGTAAGGATTGATATAAAATGCGACGATTTTAAAAGACTACCAGTAAGTGTTGGTTTTGGAAATGAAACAATATATTTATATAAGTAGAAAGTATTTATTAAGCATTGAATCATATTACCTGCATAATTTTAAAACATTTTTTATGGTGATTTGTGAAAGTAGAATATAGAAATAAAGAGATGATGTATCGATTCACAACAAATCGATTTCTAAAATATCGATATTTTTCTCAAACTGGCTCATTGAATATTCTTGGCGAAGAAAAATAAAAATAGCGCATAAAGATGTTTTCGAAGAATTAATTAAAGCAATACAATATGTGTATAGAATTGATTAATAAATTATGTCAAAGAACCGAATTGATTGACCCCGACTCTGGTACGAATCTGTCCTACCCCTAGAGTGTTTGCGATGCAGTCTCAAAATAAATACAGAGGGTGACACAGGTAGCGGGGAGGGCTGCACACTGTCCGCAAGTACGATAATGCGCCGAACACGTCTAGACATTACTATTTTTCAACATTTACCGTGTCTTAGCGATATAACCTAAGATTTACTGAGTGACCTTATGGACTTGGTAAATCTTAGGGTTTACTGCAAAATCTTAGAATTTACCGTAGTTCTATCTTTTACAGTAACATATATAAATGAGATGACTGCTCTCCACGATACAGGGAATCCTAGTATGGAGCCCAGTGATACCAGGGATACTGTTTGAAATTATAAAATGATAAAATATGAGACATATAAATAATGTAACATAACAATAACTAAGTCAGTATCTGTACATTTTTTGAACGGAATAAATATTTCTTATATCTTACAATTGTGCTACCATCTGCATACCCATAGATACCGGGCATAAGCAGATCATTAATATGCAGCAGGAAGAGAGTTGCGGAGAGAACGGATCCCTGAAGAACACCGGCGTTAGTCGCCACAGGATCGGACTAGCAGCCATCGACGACGACCCGGAGAGACCGTTCAATCAGAAAGTCCTTTACCCAGTCAATCAGACCAGGAGATAAGCCGTACGCTGGATGTTTACCCAAAAGGCTAGCATGCCAAATTCTGTCAAAGCCCTTCGAGACATCAAGCGAAACAGCAAGTGTTTCCCCACTGTTCTCGAGTGCCTCGCTCCATACGTGTGTGGCATACGCTAGAAGATCGCCAGCTGACCGATTTCGGCGAAACTAGTATTGCTGGTCACTAAGGGGGTCATTTTGTTCTAGGTATGTCCACTAAGCGGGCGTTCAATTAGGTACTCAAGGTAGTTGAGATTGGCCGATAATTGGCAGGGTCGGCACGGCTGTCTTTTTTTGGAACAGGCTGCACGTTGGCCAGCTTTCAGATTTTTGGCACTATCCCAGTCCTAAATGAGAGGCGGAACAAGGATGTCAGCACAGGAGACAATTCAGGTGCACAAGCCTTTAGACTATAGTTGGTATACCATCTGGTCCACTAGCTTTTTTCATATATTCTGAACGAGTTTAGTATTGTTATCACATATATGTTCACAGAGTAATGTGAAATAGTATTTTATTTATAGGTTAATATTTAAAGGATCCTATATAATATAAAACAGTGTCTTATGCGCCTATGAAGCGTTAATTGTAATCTGCAAAAATGTTACTGGTACGAAGTATTGGTACTGGTCCATGACTGCCTCATTGGTCTAGTGGTTGTAAACGCGTCTACTGATCATGTGGTCCTGAGTTCTAATCCCAAATGAGTCGGGCCAAAATAGGGTAGGCAATTCAAGTAAGTCGGTTGGCGATGTTTTACCCCATGCCTCTAAAATCAAGTAAAGTCGGTTGTCCTGAGTCTGATCTCTCTCCGATCGTGTCTGATTACCGTCCCATCGGAGTATGAGAGTGAGGGCACATACACTTGGGCACTATAGTCCTGTCCTTCGCACATGCCTAGTCTCTATTGAGTTTGGCCGCTTTGTCCGAAATTCAGTCTGGAGAACATTCATGGCAATTTATTATCTTCTTATATTAAAATGCATTTCTTTTAAGGAATAAAAAAGTGTGTGTGTGTACTTATATACGCACGTAGGAAGTTATACTTCTTGAACGTAATAAAACAAAAACTTGAGAGACAATTACCCACTGAAGTTGTCGCTTTTAGGTTTCGGTGGGCGCGTGCATCGTAACAACATGGTGTCGTTTTTAGGTGTCGGTGTGCGCGCGCATCGTAAAAATTCACTCTCATCATTTTTCCCAAACGCCCCAAAAGAAGTATAACTTTAAAAATATATTTTTACATTTTTATAATATCAATAAGTTATAAATAAAAATATAATATTAATCGTAGAGAGCTTAGCACTGTTCACTTTAGCGTTTTAATTTTTAATATACATATTATATTTTTATGACGTAGCAATAATGCGACCTGAATTTATTGGTGAATATTTTAATAAAATCTGATTCGCTTCATTTTATAAATTATATAAAATTCATTTATTCCTCAAAGTATTTATTACAATTCTACTATAAATACTTATTTTAAATATGTCAACACCGAAAGGCGGCCATGATTTGATTGGTAATATATATTTTCAACATGGCGTCTAGCCTAGATGTTCAGAATGTGTGTGTGTGAAAGTGCAGTGAAATTATGTTAGTATCAAGTGTTTTAGTGATAATTTTAGTGTTTAAGTGAAAACAGTGTGCTTTAATGCAGCGATTATCTTATCATGGCTCTGGATTTACGCTTGCACTCTCCTGCAGGCGCGGAACCTGTTGTTTATACATGGCCCCTCACATCGGGTCATGGCTCGGTAATAAACTTTTATTTTGAATTCTAGTCTTACCCCAAAATATATTAAACCTAGTGGAAATTATTGTTTGAACTCTAATTATACAATCAAATAGAGTGATAATTTGTTATAAATGCTGGCGTTTTGAACTGTTATGTATTATCAATCCATGAAAAATTCTGGTTTATGCGTTTTGTTTTTGGTACCTTCTTACATAAGTTATGAACCATTTACTACTTAATTAAAGCTAATATTCATTGAACTTAGAAGAGACCATACCTAATGTTAGGAGATCATGGAAAGAGTATAGGATATTGCTCACATCACATGGGTAGTGCAGAGTGTATTGACCTCGTGTTTTGTCAAGGTGTCGGCTTTTTTTTAGATATGTACACACTGTTGCGCAGTCTTCAATCGTCATCTTTTATTTACATTCAATGCTTCCAAAGTATTCATTGTATTATTAGCTGTGGCACTTTTTCACATACATGTATTACCAATAGAAGATAGTACTTTTTCCATTTTTGCAGATAAATAGCAATTTAGTACAAATATTTTAAGTAGATTAAACGTACCATAATATCAAATCAAAATAGTTAAAGAGTTAAACTTGTAATGTTTATTTATGTTTCTTCTATTTATGTAAATAGGTAATCTTTTTTCTGAGAATGTAAAAGTAAGAAGCTTTAAATACATGTAATGCAGACTTTTATTTCAAAAATCAGTTCAAAGTTTGTGGAGATGTCACATAAAATATGTACAAAAAAATTACCATACATTTAGAAACTCCTCTTTTTTGAAGTTACTTAAAAAGTATAGATTACATGTATAAAAAGTAAAGTATATTAAGTGTTTAAAAGTAACAACAACTATAAATGAAACTTATATTTACTAACTACTTAGTACTTATTTATTGAAATATTTTTTTTTGTTTGAATCTTATTTCAAATTGTAACAATAAATGTATAATAAAGGGTAGGTATGGTGTTTATAGGTAGGTATGGCTATAAAAAAGCCCAGAATGGAGAAGATTGGAAGAGGCCTTTGCCACCTGGTATATTGACACACAAAAATGGAACAAAAGAAAAATATACATATGAATAATAAAGAAATACTGTCTTGTCCCACTAAAGGATTATTATTATTATGGTGTTTATAACGGAGAAATACCTTTCATGTTACCTGTAGTAAGAAACTGTATGTGATAAACCATGCTGCAGCTATATTATGGTTGTTGTATAAATAGGTTGGCTTGACCGAGGAAGGACTACACTCAAAGAAAACTATAGTGAAATAGGAGTTTGATGGTGCTGTGTTTCGTATGGTGAATGTAAAGAACCAGATGCCCTTTTTTACTGGAAATGAAGCATTCTATCTTAGTCCTCAGGGGTGACAGTGGTTCTGCATTTAGATTATTAATTGAGGATAGATCTAGATTGGTGATTCCCAACTAGTGGTCCTCAAGAGCTTAAATATGGTCCGTGAAAGATTTAAATATTTTACCTATGTACCTAATCATTTTAAATAACACACATATATTATTTTCTTGTTACACGGGCAGTGAAACACTGCGCATCACGTTAGTAAGTACCTATTAGCTTTTACAATATATACACAAATAATATTGTTAATGAATACTTTTTTTCAGTTTTTTTTTATATGGGATAAGGTGACAAGTGAGCGCACAGTCCACCTGATGGTAAGTGGTAGCTGTGGCCTATAGACATCTACATCTATCCTCGTTTGTGAATCAAAACGCAGATGCGTTGTCACCCGTGAGGACTAAGATAGAATGCCTCTTTTCCAGTAAAAAGGGTCTCCGGTTCTCTACATTCACCATACAAATTCTGTGAGAGCGTGGTCCTTCCCCGGTCGAGCCGACGCATTCGTACTACAACTATAATACTAATATAGCTGCAGTATGGCTTTACCACGTTTCAAAAAGTTTTCAGTTTAATATATTAACAGACTAGTCAAAAAAATGTTGAGAAACCCTGATCTAGATGCTTATGGCCCATAACATCCACTTACCATCAGGTGTTCTGTGTACCAGTTTGTCATCCTTATTCTAGTAAAAAAAATCATATAAAATATAATTTAATATTGCCTCTTCTAGTTCAGGTTTATAAAACAAATTAATTAGTGATGTGACATACTGCCATACTTCTTCTAACTAAAGACACAAGATATTTATTGTATCACAATTATTTAGTGCCCAAAGTTTTATGATATTATATATACTTATTTCATATTCTGTCATTTCAATCTGTAGTACTTATTACAGCTCAATATGTTCCATCCATCCATTCATTTCAGCCTAAAATGTCCTCTGCTGAACATAGGGCTCCCTCGTAGATTACCTTATGGGGGATTTTGTCATAGTTTCCACCAATGTCACTTATACATAGTGAATGCTGTTAAAGTGAAAATATGCAAAATGTATTTCAAATAAATTTGATGCACCTGTTGTTCTCTGCTTTAGTACTTGGATAAATGTTATAGTTTTACTGCATAAGCCCTTCAACTTGATACCCTTATAATTAACAATCTGCAGTGTGATTGTGTAACCCTGCTAGTATAATTTGCCACATGCAAACAATATGTAAAAAAAAGCGGCCAAGTGCGAGTCGGACTCGCCCAAGAAGGGTTCCATAGCAGCAAGTAACATAATTTACGATTTATGATGTATTAAAAAAACTACTAACTAGATCTCGTCCAAACTAATTTTCGGTGGAAGTTTACATGGTAATGTACATCATATATATTTTTTTTAGTTTTATCATTCTCTTATTTAGAAGTTACATATAAGAAACCTCAATATGTTGAGTTTCAGTTCTAAGTATGGGGAACCCCCAAAATTTATTGTTTTTTTTTTCTATTTTTGTATGAAAATCTTAATGCAGTTCACAGAATACATCTACTTACCAAGTTTCAACAGCATAGTTTTTATAATTTCGGAAAAAAGTGGCCATGACATATGGACGGACAGACAGACATGACAAATCCATAAGGGTTCTGTTTTTTGCCATTGGCTACGGAACCCTAAAAATCACAATAGTAAACACTGGTACTACAATATTTTTTTACCTGAAATAAAAAAAATTATAATGACATCTGATTATACTTAATATCAATGCAACTACGCAGTACAATGAAACCGAATGTCAAATCTTAAAATGTAGCCAGCCATCAACGCCACCAGAGTCATACAATTGCACTGCTGATAACAAAACAATAAATCTGACATCTCTGGAGTTTTTGTTGCATTGTCCAAATTTCTAGTATATTTAAGTTAGTTTGTTATATTGAATACTTATTTTGTAAATTTCCTTGGATTCAGAAGATTTACTTGAAAAAAGTGAAAATAATATTTACACTTTTTTCAAGCACAAATAATTGTAACTTTAATCATTGCCCTCTTATCGCATAAACATAATAATATCATTAATTTAATTAAATGAGGATGTTTCAGAATTGTACTTGGAACATGGAGGGAATATTATTCAGTCACTTTACTTTTTTAAATGTAAAAATTATATTTTAGTTGAGATTTTGTGTTAAGCTTTCACCAACTGAGACTGTCATAACAATAGCGACCGAAATAAAATTGTTCGCAGTGTCCCTATTGTATCGAAAATAATGTTGCGGGTGCCCAAAGGAACAAACATGATCTGGTTGCTTCCTGGTGCAAATCAGGATCGGAACCACACCGGATTATATGTGGCTTATGCAAGAAAAATTCAAATGTTTTCATATGCAACAAATGAAACCATCCTGTGAGTGTCGTAAATGGTGGCAGATAGGTGAAACAGTGGCTGGACAACAGCATCTTCCTAAAAACAACTCATTAAAAACCAGCGGTTGCCAAGTGTGGCAACTATGGTAAAACAGTATGAAGCAATTGGTGGGGCAGGCCTATGTCAAGCCTTGGACTTTTGATAAGCTGTAATGAATGAATTAATGTCACCATCATTTGTAACTCTGCCTAAACTGCTCTGGCTCTGGACATAAACCATCATTTTACTTAATGTAAAAATATAATTAACGCTAGTTTTTGGTATAAGTTGGACACTAATTATTTATTGAAATGTGTATGTTCCATTCTTAAATTATTTCTCAATCTGATGGCTTCAACATATTTGTAATGTGAATATTTGATAATTTTTTTGATGCTTAGGCAAAGGAGGCTCTTTTGTAAAAGTTGTGCACCCACAAAAGAGGTTTGATCTCGGACTGAGTTAGAATCCTGACTTCAGTGCATTTTAATCAGTAGCACCATTCCTGAATTACTATCAGTACTAGAACTGTTTATTTTAGAATATATATTTTAGATACCTATGTTATTTTAATATTTTTTCATAGGACAGTGAACAGTAATACCATCTGAATATTTTGACCCTATTTTGTTTTGTGGTCATTATTGATTATGATATTGATTTCTTACAATAGTTGATTTTATAATTGGTACTTTCCTCAACTTAAAAATTTTAATTCGCACTTAGAGTGCATAGTTTTTAGTGTGCATAGTTTGTTTCTGCATAAGTAAAATATTACATAGATGTATTTAATTTTTCCACAGTTGGATTTTTAACATAAGATTTATGTGGTATATATTTGTTTGTTTCAGGACAAACACGATGGAGCTTTAGAAATAGTAGAGACAATAAGGTAAGAATGTTAATAGTAATAAATGTATAATACATCTTGTTACATAATTAATAAGAGTTATATATACAATCAAAAAATTTATGATGCATTTTACACTAAATCTTTGTACTTATTATGCAAACAATTTTGAATACTATGTCAAGTAACACCAGCTCGAATATTGTTGTAAAGGCCTATGTACAACTGTGGACCTAAGGGTCATTGATGAATAATAATAATTTATATATGACAATTTATAATAATTAAAAGGCAACAACACTCTACTGAAGAGCTACAGACCAATTTCCTTTCTGAGTTGCACATACATGCTGTTTTCGAGGGTCATTATAAATTATGTTGCATCTGCATGCACTTGAAGATTTGAGCTTCCAAACAAGCCTGTTTCTGAAATGGCTTTAGTAACAGAGACCACATACACGTCCTTCTGCAAATTGTACAGAATGACAGAAGAGTATAATTTGCCACTTTGTCTTGTATGTATGTCCTTTCAGTGGTGCTAAGTAACTGTTGGTATATTGAAGTGCTTAACAGAGTACGAAGCCTATCCCACTGCAGAGAGATGTAGTACAGTTGAGCTAAGACGAATTGTCTGAATAGATAGGTACGTACGACTTTGACCTACTCGAAGACAGCGTTCAGGGAATACGACACATCGTCTCGTCACATATAACTCAAAACTTGAAAACAAGAGTATACAACTAGTGGGTGTTGCCAGTGATGACTAATGGATCTGAAACATGCTCCGTCTCTGCTGGAAGTAGACGGTCACTCAGTGACCTATTGAAAGGGCTATGCTCATAGTTTCTCTGCGTGATAGATTTAGAAATGAGGATATTCGCACTAGAACTAAAGTAATCAACATAGCTCATCCAAGCTAAGTAAGCTGAAGTGGCAATGGATTGGCCATATTGAAGAACCGACGACCAATGGTGAAGAAAGGTTCTCAAGTGACAACCTAGATCGAGTGACGACCTGGGAAGAGATACATGATGACGATGAATATAGGTACCTTGCTTTGTGGCATTTCTTGGGAGAGGCCAATGTTCAGCAGTGGAGTGGTGATGGGCTGTAATAATGAATGATTTATACAAAATTTTATATATTAGGCGTAGGGAAGTGACGATCACATCGTCCGTTGACGTAACGGTTAAGTACCAAAACTACAACGTCAGCGCATTCAGTTAGCGCCTTGCCAAGAGATGTTAGCGCCGTGCCTGGGTAAAATTGATGGTGCAAAGGCCTGTTTGTGCATTTGGTCGCTCCGTTAAACGGTGTCGAGTCTGGACGACTTCCGTTAACTGACGCCCATTATGAATGATGGAATAGAAAAGAACTCCGCTGCCCGGAGGACGCCAGGGCGCGTATGGAACTGGCGCTGGACGCGACACCATACGGGTCGCCAGCTGAAAGCGAGGTTCCGCACGACCACCCAGCAGCCCCCGGCATTCATCATTGGCGATGGTTGGAACTAGGGTTGCACGGCATTATCAACGATAATAATCATGGTAATTATGTACTGGCAATTATCAATGATAATAAAGTTTATTCATCATCATCATCATCATCATTATTACAGCCCTTCACAAGTCCACTGCTGAACATAGGCCTCTCCCAAGGAATGCCACAAACACGGTCCTGAGCCACCTGCATCCATCGACTTTCTGCATATCTTACCAGGTCGTCACTTCATCTAGTGGGGGGACGCCCTACACTTCGCCTGCCGGTACGAAGCTGCCACTCGAGAACCTTTTTTCCCTATCGGTTGTTGGTTCTTCGAGCTATATGGTCGGCCCATTGCCACTTCAGCTTACTAATCCGTTGGGTTATGTCGGTCACTCTGGTTCTACTGCGGATATCCTCATTTCTAAGTTTATCACGCAGAGAAACTGCGAGCAAAGCGCTATCTATAGCTCGCTAAGCGACCTTGAGCTTCCTCATACGGCCAGCAGTGAAGGACCACGTCTCAGTTCCATATGTCATCACTGGCAACACGCACTGGTTGTACAGTCTCGTTTTCAAGTTTTGAGGTATACCTGACGAGAAAATGTGCCGTAATTTCCCGAACGCTGCCTAACCGAGTTGAATCCGTCGACTGACCTCTCGGTCGAAGTTGGACTTACCTAGTCGGACTATTTGTCCCAGGTAAACATACTCGTCAACAACTTCGAGCTTAGTGCTCCCAACAACTACCGGCATAGGTGTGACATGGACATTAAACATGATCTTTGTTTTGTCCATGTTCATCTTAAGATCTATCCGTTGGGAAACACTATTGAGGTCATTGAGCATAGTGCTTAGGTCCTCCAGCGATTCTGCCATAAGGACTATATCGTCGGCAAATCGAAGGTGAGTGATGTACTCGCCAGTGATGTTGATACCGTATCCTTTCCAGTCCAGAAGCTTGAAAACGTCTTCCAATGCAGCGGTGAAGAGTTTCGGGGATATGACGTCACCCTGTCTTACACCTCTCAGCAATTGGATAGGTTTCGTACCCTGGTTCTGTACTCGAATAGCCATCGTAGCCCTACTGTACAAGCACTTCAACACTTCGATATACTGACAGTCAACTTGGCATTGGCACCGCTGAAGAGACTGCAGCACCGCCCAAATTTCGACGGAATCAAAGGCTTTCTCATAGTCCACACACGCCAGACATAGTGGCAAATTGTACTCCTCGGACTTCTGTACAATTTGCCGAAGGGTATGTATGTGGTCTATGGTGCTAAAGCCTTTTCGGAAACCGCCTTGTTCGGGAGGCTGGAAGTAGTTAAGTCGGCGCGCGAGACGATTCGTAATGACTCTCGAAAACAGCACGTAGACGCGTCTCAGAAGGGAAATCGGTCTGTAGTTCTTCAAGAGAGCGTTGTCGCCTTTCTTGAAGAACAAGAACACCGCACTTCTGCTCCACGCCTCCGGTGTAATGCCACCATGGAGGACGGAATTAAAGAGCTTCTGAAGGACTTCAAGTACCGGTTTTCCATCCGCTTTCAGAAGCTCCTCTGTAATTCCATCCTCGCCTGGGGCCTTGCCGTTTTTAAGGTGCTGGAGAGCCATTTTAATCTCGCTCAGACTGACGTCCGGGATATCATCGGAATAATGTCTGATAAAACTCTCTCTTGGATCGTTACTCACACTGCCGTGTGGCTCCAACGATGATGTGTACAGCTGCCCATAGAACCTCTCAATCTCACTCATGATGACTGCAGCTTCACATCCCGTCTAACAGCCATGAGATTAAGAGTGTGATCGGAGAGTTTTTATGTTCTTCTGCGGCGGGTCTTGCAAAACTTAGATCCGACCGCATGGGCAGTTTCCACGAGCTTGTCATTCATATCGTCCACTGCATTGCAATCTTCTAGGCACTGAAAACGGTTTCGTAACTCGAGCTGAAAGGTTTCGGGACTTTGGATTGGAGCACGGGGGAGACGGAGCGTTGACTTCATTAGACGTGACCTCTCCAACTTAACGTTTAGGTTCAGTGTGCCTCTCACCATTCGGTGATCGCTGCCGGTTTTCACCCTTGCGATCACTGAGACATCACTGAACAGTTGCCGTCTGGTCGTCATAATGAAGTCAATCTCATTTTTTGTCGAACCGTCGGGGCTCGACCAGGTCCACTTCCTGTGGGGCCGCTTCTGGAAGAAAGAGTTCATCATAAAGAGTCCCTCTTTCTCCATGAAGTCGGCCAGGTGCTGGCCCCTTGGGTTCCGTTGCCCTATTCCGAATTTCCCTACTTTTAGTTTACCGTTCTCTCTTGTGACCTTCAGCGAATACCGTTTGGTGATTCTGAGTATAAGGTACGCAACCCTCGTCGACCCACTCCCAATCTTTACAACGTTGATAATGAGAGACTTGTGGACGATAAATCCGACACCTCCTTAGGACAGATGGTCGCCCTCCCGGTGATAGAACAAGTAGCCGGATTCGAGGATTACCGTGTCCTCCCCCTCTCTTCGGACCTCGGATAATCTTATGATATTCCAGCGCAACTTCTCTATCTCTTATTCCAGCTCCAGGATCTTCTCGTCAGTCCTCAGGGTGCATGCGTTATAAGTTGCCAGGTCGAGTCGTTGTAGGTGGCAACCGAACCTCCACCGGAGATTCTTAGCACCCCCTGCCCCGCCGTTACCATGGTCGCCACCGTAGCCAGGAATAGCGGGGCCGCCGGGGACTGGGGGCCGTCTCTTCGTTTCTCTCATGGGAGGTATATTGCCATAGTTGCCTCGCTTGGCGAGCAGGTTGGCAACCGCAGTTTTTTTTATTGTTGTTTTGCTATCATCAGAAAGATGCTGCTGCCCATCCTCTGCCTCAGTTTCCCTCTGTCGCCTCTTACGACACCCACGGGAAGACATGGGGTAGTGAGTATTCTTTCCCGCCACTACACGGGGCAAGTACAAGTTTATTCCTGTGTGTGATATTGGGCTTGAAGGTCTATGGCGTGTATCCGAATGCGGGTGATACTGTGTTTCCATTTTTTGGCGGCAAGTCGATAGTGTGTATCCGAACACGAAAAATGTCAATGGGTGGGAATTCCCCTTGGCCTCAATGTTTTGTTTTGTGAGTTTTTGTTGTGTTTGTTTCTGAATAATACAGTCTTAAAAACATGCCACGAAATCTGTGTTCATCCACTGTGGTTAAATTTTGACTGCATAAAAACCAAAAAATAGCGGCATTCAAGTATTACGTAACGCACTTTGGGGGGAGGGGGGGTCTTGTAAAACGTTACGATGCGTTACAGGGGCGGGAGGGGTGTTCGAACAAGGCGTTACGTAACATTGTTTTTATTTACGTAAAAAACTATGAATTTAAAATCTCCCACGTTGGCAACCCTTTTCGTATATGTTTTACTTACGGGGAATTCCTCGACTGTATTGTACGTCATTTTATTTTGTTTTCGTTGTCAGTATTCGTTAGTGCTTACGCAGAAGCACATTATTGTAGTCAGTGTTGTATACAGTACCCCATCATACCCTAATCTTAATGACACACACACACAGTTG